TAGCAGCGCCAGAGGCCTGCATGCAGCATGTAATGGAAAGCAAGAAGAAGAAGACAAAGTCAGTGTTACCACAGAGTAGAGAGAATTTGCCACTGGGCATTGTAGTATTATGTTTGAATATGTTGCTTCTCCGTGTGTGTGTGAATCATCTGCTGAATAGTTTATAATTGCCGTAAAATCAATGCAAATTTCCGTTAACCTGTCCATGATGTTAGCATTAAGCTAGGAGACTTTTATAGATGGAATTATTCTGATTTGGTTGAACATTTTCGTGTTTAAGTACAATTTTTCTTGTCCGGTGCAAGTGTAGGCCAAAGCGCGGTGTATTATATGCATGAGTGGAGTTTGCGCCGTCGTGGGAGTGAACACAGTCAACTTGCTTCCTGGGCATTGAAAGCTGCTCCTCTCATCCCTTTTAATTTAGCGCAGGAGAGACGCGTGCTCTACATGGCAGAAGCAGAAACAGACTCCCTGGAGTCCATGCGGAAGATCAACACGTGCATAGTGTGTATATCAGGAACTACAAGCACACACCGATAGGTGTATGACTTAAATTGTCCAAGACTATCACAGATCACCGATGTGAAGTGGGCACGACGAGACAGTCTTCCACCCTGATTGTATGTGTCCGTGTGTAATTTTAAAGCAGTACCTGCGGTCGACAAAATCTGGGAGAATGAGCAACTATATCAAGTATCAAGTACAACTTTATTGTCAAATGTGCTGTACAGCACAGATGAAATTTCCTCCCTCTTAAACAGACAACAATGCACACGCCATTTCCGCATTTGGGCTACGGAGGCGTGCTAACTTCTGGTCACTAGCCCAACAAATTGTGCTCGAGTCAAACTCTTTAAAATATACTGGCAATCTGCTGAAATGACATTGTTACTACAAATGACGTATTATTTGCTCCAGTTATCCTAGTGCCTGCAACGCGATCAATTGTTCATTTCATGAGCAATTTGCTGTATCACAGTGCATGCACATGTACATGGAGGTGCGTGTGAACACTGACTTCCATGGCTTATTTTCACATCACCCCCGTCCTGAAAAACCTCCACTGGCTCCCCGTTCCTGAGCGTATTCAGTTTAAACTCCTCCTACTCACCGATAAAGCCCTTCACATTCAGGCCCCCTCCTACCTCTCCGACCTTCCTCACCCATACACTCCTTTCCGCAACCTCCGCTCCTCAAAGACAAACCACCTCACCATCCCCGTGACCAAGCTCAAAACCTGGGGGGACCGAGCCTTCTCTGTCACCGCCCCCACCCTCTGGAACGCTCTGCCACAACACATCCGCAACTGTACTGACTTCCAGTCCTTCTAATTATTTCTTAAAACTCAGCTGTTCTTAAATGCTTTTAACACCTTTTAATCTCTTTTACCCATTTTTGCTTTTTTTTTTTCTTCTTCTTCAAAATGTGTTCTTTAAAATCATGTATACCGTATTTTTCGGATTACACGTCGCGCCGGATTATAAATCGCACCAGCCAAAAAAATGAAGAAGGAAAATACATAGATAAGTCGCACTGGAGTATAAGTCGCATTTTTGGGGGAAATTTATTTGATAAAATCCAACACCAAAAATATACATGTCATCTTGAAAGGCAATTTAAAATAAAAATAAAATAGAGAACAACAGGCTGAATAAGTGTACGGTATATTAACGTTACATGACTGACATGCCTGGTAATGTCAGTAATGACGTAACATATTAAGAGTTATTCAGATAACTCTAGCATAAAGAACATGCTAACAAGTTTACCAAACTATCAGTTTCACTCCAAATCACTAAAGGCAATGAAATCTTCATCCTCGGTGTCACTTTTAAACAACTTCCCCAACTTGGGAGGTAGACGATGCGCTGCTTCCTCTTTTACGTCGCTTACGTCAGACTCATCGTCAATTTATCAACACAGGCCGAGAGCGCCCTCTTGTGGTTTAATGTGAAAATAACGTGAAATGACATAATCATGTGTTAATAATTTCACACATAAATCGCTCCAGAGTATAAGTCGCACCCCCAGCCAAACTATGAAAAAAAAACTGCGACTTATAGTCTGGAAAATACGGTACTTTGCTTGAAAGTGTACATTTTTATCCCGTGTTTTAAACTCTTGTAAAGTGTCATTGAGTACGATGAAAAGCGCTTTCAAAATAAATGTATTATTATTATAAAAGACAATCAATAATAAAATAATAATGACAAGCATGTACTACTAGCTGCAGGGTGAGGATAAATGTTCCCACGAAGCTTCGTAGCGGAGTGCCTCACGTGGACGGTGGGGTGAGCGAAGCTTCGAGACTCAAAAGAGATCGCCTGACAGACTAGCTTCGTCAATTCGGTTTTGCAAGAGTTAAATTGTCTCAGTGAATGTATAAACTTTATATCTCTTTTGCAGTACTGGCTCATTGGTTAACGTGTTAAAATAAAAATGGGAATAAACAAAAGCCTAAAGCTTGTACGCCTCTGTATTTTCCATCAGAAATATGTTGTTGGTTGCTGTGTATCGAGTCCATTTGTGCAACATGGCCAATTAGTGGCCTGGCATGCACATGACAGAGGTTTTAGCCGTTTGAGATGTATTGTTTGCACAACGGTGCTCTCGTGCATGTGAATGTTTTTGGTCATCCTAATTCGCGAATTCAAGAATTGTATTTCTATGTTGTGGCATCCAAGAATCACATTTACTCCTTCCGACTTGACAAACACTTCAGCAAAGTTGAGAAGCAGCAGCAATGGCCTTCCCTCATCAGAATTCTCGACACCTTCGAAGCAAGCCACTTTTTTTGTCAGTTTCTTTTAGAACCCCCTCCCTTTTTTTCTTTTTCTTCATCTGCATGCTTTCTCCCCTCAGCCCCTTTCCAACCTCTGCCAAGATTTCCACTCCATAGCCCAGACAGCCTCAACCTTGACTCAGGGCCACCCCATTCTCTCAGCAGCCAACTATTTCACCGACCGCAGCTTTAACTTCACTGCTCCGCCTCGCGGCACCACTCGGGGGTCTTTCTGGGAAACCGCGGTATGAGAGGAGAGGGGGGTCGATCAGACATCCAAGGCCCCCAAAAGACACATACGTCAGTGCAGGCAGTGGACTTGCAGGAGTCGTTTGGGTTCATTATGGCTGTTTTAAATGCTTCTCGGCATACATTGGAGGTGTAACTGATTGGACAGCCAACAGATGAAAAATGATACTGGAGATGGTTCAACACACTCATCCAAGAGTGTTGAGTATATTGGCTCTTTTTATTTTTTTTTAATCTGTCACATTGCTCTTCGGAAACTTTAAACTGCTGAATTCAGGAGTAAACTTTTTCGTGGGATTTCACAAACGATTTGGGGACGGGGCACCACACTTGGCTTTTGGCTATTCATCATCATTAGGACAAGTGATACAAATGTTTTAAAATAAATAAATACACACACACACACACACACACACACACACACACGTGTGAGTGTGTGTGTGTGTGTGTGTGTGTGTGTGTGTCCCCCCTCCCTCACCTCTTGCCTCTCTGAACTCAAAACATGGTTCACAACAAACTTTCTAAAATTAAATGCTAATAAAACTGAAATCCTCCTTCTTGGCACCAAATCCACTTTATCTAAAGTAAACAGTTTCTCCCTCAACATCGACAGCTCCTTAGTGTCCCCTTCCCCCAAGTTCAAGAGTCTGGGTGTCATCCTGGATAGCATGCTCACCTTCCACTCACATATCAACACCATCACCCGCACTGCCTATTTCCACCTCCGCAACATTACCAGACTTCGCCCTTCCCTCACCCCCCGTACCACTGCCATTCTGGTCCACAGTCTTGTCACATCCCGCCTTGATTACTGTAACGCTCTCCTCTTCGGCCTACCTCAAAAGTCCCTCCATAAAATCCAGCTGGTTCAAAACGCCTCCGCTCGCATCATCACAAAAACATCCTCCCAGCAGCACATCACCCCCGTTCTCCAACAGCTTCACTGGCTCCCTGTTCAACATCGCATCAACTACAAACTGCTCCTTTATACATATATGGCCATTCACAACCTGGCCCCTCCCTACCTGTCCGACCTTCTCCAGGTGCATACCCCCACTCGCTCCCTCAGATCCTCGTCTTCCCTCCGCCTGTCAGTGCCTCCTGCCCGCCTGAGCACCATGGGAGCCAGAGCCTTCAGTCGCGCTGCCCCAAAGCTTTGGAACAATCTACCTCCGGACCTTCAAAACTGCACACCTCTCTCCACTTTCAAGTCCCGTCTAAAAACACACCTGTTCAGGATTGCTTACAATACATAGCCCTTCCATCTCCTATATCTTATGATTTTATGTCTTGTTTTTATAATATCTTGCTTAACAATTTTTACATTGTATTTTTTATTGTCTGTACAGTGTCCTTGGGTGGCATGAAAGGCGCTTTTAAATAAAATGCATTATTATTATTATTATAACGTTGAGCAATTTCTTCATTCTTGTAGTTTAGGTTAACACTCTCTGGACCAAAGAATTCGGCCAGGGACAGAAAGGCCCAAATCTAGAAAGTTTCATCTCCAACCCATTGAGAGTGAGTCATTTGAAAGTTCTCACCCAAAGCACGCTATCAAAAGTGAATTTACAAAACATTCCCCAAATTCTGAATGCAGCAGGTCACTCCATCGATCCGATTGACTTGAAATTTCTCAAAAAACAGAAATTGGCTCTGACCGAGATTGAAATTCAAAATGTTCCTTTCCCCATCCACCCTCTCATCCGATTCAACCAGTTGATTTGCTGACATTCTTGCACTCCCATCAGTTTTCCACTTGTCAACAAAGAAGTTGGTGAAAGAGTCGTTTGTGCCACTTTTTGCTGACTCTGTAATATTTGTGGATTTGTGTGGATGAAGGGGAATACATTTGTGTGCGTGTTTTTTCTTTTGAGCAGCAAGGGCCCACACTAACCACCCTGGGGTCTTGTTATCCTCCCCTATGTCTGAGCTCTGGGGGCCACACTAATGAATCCTACCATTGCAGAAGCTCCTCCGGCTCCAGTCGGGATATCTAGAGGGCTCAACCACCGTCGCCCCCCTGCCGCCTCCTCCCCTACTCCACCTCGACCGCAGGTCCAGCTGCAGCGTGAATGAAGGCGGGCTGCGATGGAGACACCGAGGATGGTAGGTGATCGCACTGAATAATTGATGTGCCCAGTTCACTCAGGAACACCCTCAGAGTTTCTCTGCGCGCGCACACACACACACACGCACACACACACACACACACACACACACACACACACACACACACACACACACACACACACACACACACACACACACACGCGCGGCAATACACACCTTCTTTCACACTGATTGCAAGGAGAAATATGCCAAGATTCTGTTATGTGGCTGAAAAATGTGAATTACTGTTGACTCCCCAATGCTCACTGTTGAAATTTCTCCCACCCTCGCAGCTTTATATGATCTTGGAATAATTCCCTAGTCTATACCATTTTAACCAGGAGAGGAAGGTGAAACCATAATTTTAATTAGCATTTAAAAAGAATTACAACAGTTCTTTCCGGCTGACGTGATATTTCTCATACACAACAAATGATTAAGCACCAATTAAAAAAAAAAATGTTAACACCTATCATCCTATAAATTTGATTGACGTGAAATTTCTCAAAGCAGTAAAGTATAATCCCATCACTGGGCTGTGAATTTTCACCAGATGGGACCCCTGTTATTAAGCTCAACAGGTCACACCAGTCACGCTTGAAATTCGATTGGCCTGAAATTCAAAGACAACTTCAAGAATTGGTGAAGGTGTACAATGTGGTGCTGATCCAGCCTTGAGGGAGGTCTGCACGCTATTCAGTCATTCGAGTTTTATTACTCTTCCACCTTGTGTTACATTCATCATTTTTCTTTCCTGATATTAAACTTAACAAAGAAGGTTTTTGTCCATTCCAAAAATGTCTGATTAGCAAATATGAACCACTGCACAAGAATCCAAATGGTGAGTGAAGTCAGTCTGATAACAAAGCCAAACAAGGCAATGTGAATTTTAGCTTGTTAGCTTACTTGTGAGTTGAATGGTGGGCCTATGTGCAAGAAAATCTGAAAATAAGAAGTAGTTTATTATGTCTTATTATTGGAAAATAAAGAAACATTACCTCCTAATGTTCCACTGCCGTCGTACTGATTTGAGGAAACACACCCCGTTAATGAGGCCCAGTGAGACAGGGCACTGCAGCTCTCAGAACACTATTGACCATCATAGTTTTAGTGTTATTGATAGGATGCCATAGCACCAACGCACAGAGGCCATAATCTTGTGTAAACCAGCGTAATATTCATAAAATGAGTAGTTACGAAGATAATAATGTGCACTTCTTTGTTTCTGTAAAGTAACCAGTCAGTATAATATCTGGCACTTTGACACCACTTAAAAACTAAGCTGGTTCAACTCAGCTTTGCTGCAAATTGTTATCAAATTGGAAATATTGCTCACTGTTGTCATCAGAAAACATTTATGAACTGTACATAAACTGTTTGATGTTGTTGCCATATTTTTGAGACAGTGTTATTTTCATGGCATAAAAGTCAAGGCCATGCGAGTTAGCTTTTGGTTTAAAAAAACAAAAAAATAAAAACAAAAACAAATGAAACGTGACATGCAACAGTACTTTTTCTTCCTTCTTCTCAGTGCAAGCACTACGTACAATGCTAAAAGAAGGAACCTACAATTCCTGACACTTTGTATGGAGCGTTAAGTCCTCAAAATACAGTAGGTGTTGTATGTATTTGACAGTAAACATTTATTCTTCTACTTTTACCAGAGCCTTTTTTTACACAATTATCTGTACTGGTACTTATGTAAGTACAGTGTGAGTATTTTTACCACTTCTGTTAGTAATAAGTGTCACATAAAAGCCCCAGCTGTACCTAATCCAGTGACCATGAAGATTCTGAATGTATGGCTTTTATTTTTAGAGGCCATGGGGAGGTGGGCTTGCTTGGATTGTGCATGCGTGCGTGCGTGTGTGTGTGTGAGTGTGTGTGTGTGCGCGTGCGTGCGTGAACACTTGTGGAATGCCCCCCAGCAGAGGGAAGACTTTTTGTGTGTTTATGGGAGCATTTTGGCATGAAGAGGAACGGTCCTGCTCCACTGAATAATAGAATAACGGCAGGATGCGCTGCGGCAGTGGGAATATCCTCAGTCAGTGGGTGAAAAGTATACCCTAAACTTCAAAAGTCCCCCCCACCATTCAAACCATCATCACGCGAGCCGTCAGTGGGCCTCACGAGACCTCATTTCATCCGGCACCAGACGATTCACAGTCTAGGCAGACAAGTCCAGTCTTTCAGTGCCATGATTGTAATTCACCAACTTTTTGTGAAAAAGTAACCAGAGTGAATGTCACGATTGCTGAGCTAGCAACTGGCGTTACCTGTCGACTGGATAAGCTGTCGTGTGCTTGACATTTTTCAAGCAGGTTTCTGGTTCCTGTCTTTGTTCCCGTGGGCTTGATGGAACTTTTAGCCTGAGCAAATTTTTGTGAACAAAGGACTTTAATTTGGATCTTTTGTGACAGACAAGAAGAACAGATGAGGAAAGATGTGGCCTGCTATGTTTGCATTTCGAGCTAGCCAGTCACATGCTCATCACTTGTGAAACAGGTTTCTATTTCCTGTCTTTGCTTGTTGGGACTCCAATTAGAAGCTGGTACTGCACAATTTTCTGAAAGCAAAGGACATTATTATAAATCTGCTGTGACCAGTCTGTTGCCTTTAAATCCATCTGTAGACTTCTCTGTCAGCTTCACGCATTTACTGTCGATTGGCTCGGTGTCATTTGCTTGTCGCATGTAAGTCAGGTTTCTACATTGTGTCTTCATACCCATTCACATTGGCGCTCACTAGCTTTTTTGTGAACGAAGGACTTTGATTTTGATCTTTTGTGACCATTGCGGTCCACGTAAAAGCTAAGATCGATGTCCGCAGATGACAGAACATGGTTGTGTTTGTATTCACACTCTAATTAGAAGAGCATGTCCCGAGGAACATCTCGCAAAGCCTGTGACTCATTCGCTGACAACCCAAATGTGAGAGCCGCAACTGTGGCAAGTTTTTTTTTTTTTTTTTCCATCTTTTCTTTCTTGTGGTGAATATGAAGCACGAGCATTCCTCCCCGGGCTGCGCATTAGGCCGGATGCCATGCACCTTCGCCCACATGCCTCCCACCACCCGGCGCCCATGTATATAAATATATAGAGAAGGCCCAAGCTGCAAGCATGCAGATAAAGACTCATCTCATTGATGTCGCAGAAGCTCGCTGGGTGAAAAAAAAGATATGTCTCTGACAAATCAGATTAACCAATATGAATGCGAAGCGTCAGATATTACATGCAAATGTGCAGATACAAGTGTGCGCGACTGTAACACCTGTTGGTACTTGGAATGTACCTTCAAGCAAAAACAAGGAAACATGTTTATGATGACCTCTTTGAACGGCACATCATTTATTATACCCCAACAGAGGAAGTTGATTACATCACCATTTCTGTTAGTCTGTTACTTGGCAGACTGATGCAAAAGTGCAATGTGTCATTTCCAGTGGAGGAGTGAATCATCAGCCAGTCAAATTTGTATTGTAGTTGTTAGTTTGTGGTAAAATGCAACTCTTACTACTAAGGCTCATTATAATGAGCACTACGTGAATACATTATGAACAAATCAAGATTGTGTCTATATGTGCCTTGTAATTGATTGCGACCTCTCCAGGATGTAGTGCGCCTTCACCCCTAAGTCAGCTGGAATAGTCGTCAATACCCTGTGACCCTGAACAAGGTAAAGGACTTGTTGGTGTTTGCCACGGGGCAGTACGCAAGGGCGACAGCACCCTGGTGCAGGCTTTCCCATATTTGGAAAAGTCTGCATAGCAGCCTACCAGGAAGTAACAAGGGGGCTTTACCTGCTGGTTGGTCTAATCCTTTTAGACCTCTGAAATCACTTTGCCACCGTCTGTCTTATTGGATGCACCATCTGACATTACCACAATGCCGCTCTTGGGGTGTATTCACACCAGAACAAAGCTTTGGTCCGCTTGTTTGATCCACCTGACATTACCACAATGCCGCTCTTGGGGTGTATTCCGCTTGTTTGATCCATACCAAAAGTGGACAGTAATTTTTTTGTCTGGTGTGGTTCCTATTCACAATGTACTTTTTGCAAGTGAATTAAATTCCGTCAACACATCAAAGCATTGTGATGATCGGTGCGCCCATTGGACAGAAATGATGAGAACGGCACGCAGAGCACAAACCTGGAAGTGGAGGAAAACCTGCATTTCATACATGCTGCAGCCTTGCTCTACATTTTTGCGATATTATTAGAGCTGCAAAATAATTGTTTAAGAAGTGTGCTCAATGGCAGTCACCAGAGGTGGTCAATTTACAAATTTTTGCTGGTCCGTCATTCTGTACACACTGAACTGGTTGACAGCCAGTCACAAGGTAAACATATACAAACAACCATTAACACTCACAACCTAGGGACAATTTAGAGTGTTCCATTAATCTACCGTGCATGTGTTTGGATTGCGGGAGGAAACTGGAGTACCCGGAGAAAACCCACACAGGCACGGGGAGAACATGCAAATTCCCCACAGGAAGGCCAGGGTCCGGAATCGAACCCATGACCTGCACTGCACTGTGAGGCAGACGTGCTAACCAGTCGACGACCGTGCCGCCACTTACATTTCACATACACTTATTTGCCAATCTAGTAATCTGTAAAGTACGGCGAGAGCACCTAAAATGCCCAAAAATGTAAATTTAAAATCTTACCTTAAGCAGAAAAGATTAGAATCCAATCCAAGTTTCTGGCACTCCTACTCCTGTCTCTAAATGCTCCTGGTCTTTTTCTCCTTCTTCTTCTTCTTTCTTCATTGACAGACTCCATCTTTTTGGTGTATACTGCCACATTCTGTAAAAGAAGCACAAAGTGTTTTCATGTGAAGTCAATGGAAGCAACCCTGCTTGTATTCAGCCCCGCGGACAACCACATGAGACAGGCGGTGCGTGTTTCTGTCAATCATCACCAAAACAGGCATCAGTCAGTGACGGACTGAGAGTTCCGTCAGTTCTTGACCCGGTTAGTGATAATTACAC